CTTTTCCTTTTGCTCTAGATACAGAATCTGCCAAAGCATCAAGACGACAACTCAAAGAAGCCATATATAAAGTACTCTTTGACATAAATGTCCCTGCTGTTTGTGCCATTAATCAGGTAGACTCTTCCCCTTCCCCTCCATAGTAATATAATCTGTTGTCTAAAAACCATAGGGAAGCAAGGAAATAAAGCATAACTAAGATGGATTGCATTCATGCAAAGTTTTTCTATGTGGTCTGGAACTGCATTGTTTCAATGTATAGATGGGTTAATTGAGTTCTTGATCCAGATTCACTGTCTGCTTTTAAAACTGTAGGCAACTTTAGCTTTATACGCAGCAAGAAGGACCTCAGGGATTGTTGTAAACATTGGTTTCCAGGTCACTTCTATTGTTCCAAGTAAGCTATTTTAATTTTCATTTCATTTTCCTAGCGATTTCAGAAATATTAACTGATGGAAAACAGATCCCTGTCCATGTTAATGTTTTCTTGGGGAATGTGGATAGTGTCTCTTTTGCAATTGTGTATAATTTTTTTTCTTCACATCTATGCATGACATAATATTGTTTACCCTTTTGAATTAGTTTTTTGAAATGTCAGTTTACTTCTCATTTTTAGCTGGCAATCTGGCATTGTGTGACTTGTAGTTCTAGGCATGCTTGTTTGCTTTTAGTTCTTTAGATATCTCTAGAAAAATTCTTCCACTGAAACTTTTCTAAACCATCCACTGAACTTTTCAGTTCCAATAGTTTCTTTTATCCTTGTCTCTGGTGATGCTATGGTTTTTTTTTCTTGTTTCTTTTTTTCCATTTTTGGTTCTTGGGACTTTTGGAACTTTGTACTTATGTTTTACCATTGTGTTTACAGTTTTAAATGGTAAAGTAATGCGCAAGGTGGGCGTGGAAGTTATGGGGTTGGGAGCTTTAAAGCTTACAGGATTCCTTAGGGAGCTGATGCAGCAGAACAATATCGGTTTTGAATCACTGTACACTGTTCGGACTCTGAAAGAGGTATATTGGCTATCCTTTCATGGTGCAGGCTGTGGTTATTGGATATTTATCCTCATAGAATACTGTCAGTGACTGTTACTGCTATCAGTAGCATTCAACAGTTCTTTATAAAGGACAATTTCTGGTTCTATTTTTTGTTCTTTCTTCTTATGTCATAGTTGTATATGGAAACTTATTGGTGTAATGAGAAGTGGAAAGTTAGAAAGTAAGGTGAATATTATGGGTGAAGAAGTTCAATTCGCCCCATGCTTTACTGGGTCAAGGACTGGAATGTGCAAAGTTAAGAAAGAAGTGTGTTCGTTATTGTGATAAATCAAGAAAGAAAGAATTTTTCAATTTCATGTTTTAGTGTTTCTTAAAATCACTATAAAGACTATCGAATTTGGCTAATGTTCTGTTGGTTGAATAACACTCAGAACTTATGTTATGTTGCTGCTGATTATGAAGCTGAGCTATCTAAAAATACACAAGCGTCATTTGAAGCCACTGGAGAAGGTTGGTTTACTCTTTCAAAAGAGAGGTTTCAAACAGGAGAAATCTTATTCCAGCCACGGCTTGCAGGAGTGTAAGTACTGTTAGAAAGTTTCAGATTAATTGCTTTCTATTTTTCCCTCCCCCTCTTCCTCTCCCCATTTTGCAGATTCTGTTGCATTCATCACATAAAATCATCAATCATGGTTTCTATCCAACATTACCATTTAGTTTATTCGGAATGCAGAACTTCAGAGGGAAGCTGTATTTAAATTTTAATATGATTTTTGGTATAGGCGTACTATGGGTTTGCACCAGGCTGTTGCTCTTTGTATGGACCATTGTCATTCTGCAGAACTAACAGATGATGATGCTTGGTTCAAGACTGTAGTCTTGTCAGGAGGGAGTGCATGTTTACCTGGACTTGCAGGTATCATTCAATTACAGGCACTCTATCTTTTGTGACAAAAGAAAAAACCGAATCTGAAATGGGCAGCTTACTAATCTAGTGGCAATAGAGATGTGAAAAAATGTTGCAAATTACTTGTAAGAATACGAATCATTACCTTTTTCTTTCAACCTTTTTTTTTATTCAGGAAGGTTAGAGAAGGAGTTACATGGACTTCTCCCTCCATCTGTATCTAAAGGAATCACAGTCATTCCCCCTCCATATGGTGCAGATACTGCATGGTTTGGGGCCAAGCTGATCAGCAACGTAAGTGTTGTCACTACCTCAAAACCTGTGTTTGGATGTACAATTCGAACAGGCAAAACTGCACATATCCATTGCAAAATATCTTTAAAAGAAATCCATCATAGATTCAGTTGGCTATAAACATTATCAGATATCTGGATTTCTCCATGTGACTCTTGGAGTTGCAAGTTTTAAGGTGGTGTTTAAAATTCTGTTTAATATATAATTACCTGGTGTTAATACAGCTGAGCACCTTTCCCGGTCCTTGGTGCATGACAAGGAAGCAGTTCCGGCAGAAGCCTAAAGTCAAGCTTATGTGGTGAATAATTACTCTGGATTATTTATTTGAGGACTGCCGTGGCCAATACAAGATATGAAGAGGTTATGGTGGAACTCCAAACTCCAAGGTTATTTTCTTATAACTTCCCACAGAAAACAGAGAGACAAAGCAGAGAGGCTCTTTTGAAGAACAGGCCGAAATTTGAGAGGTTTTCTCATTGTATATTAGTTATATATGTCGGAGCCTGCTATAGAATAAGTATCCTATTATGTAGTTTCAATAAATTACGAATACCGCGAGCTTCTCTGCCGTGCCGAACAAACTGTATGTATCACGAGGCTTTACTGAGCATATAATTGTGTCGAGTATTTGTATATCTAAAAGTGGAATTTTTTTCCATTTTCCTCAATTTTGAAATTTTCTAACTTAGAGAGCACAGGAGACCATTGACGTGTACAACCTCATAATAAGTACCAAAATTGGACTTAATTGCTTGGCATCAACATCTTTAAAATAATAAGATGTGAAGAATCTATGGACTCTCCCACATCGAAAATGTATGCTATAATGGAATTCTAACTTCAATTGCATCTATGTCTAAAAATCTATTAACCCTTCCCCCCACATCTTGTAGATTTCATTGTACTTGCTATGATTAATAGTCCCTGCTTCAAAGTCATGGACTACACCATCTATTTCAATGAAGCTCAGTCCACGAGTTGTCTCCAAGTCATTTTCTCTGATGAGCTTTCTAATTTTAGTTGCAGTTTCCTTTTCCCCAGCCTTAGCGAACATAAGCCCTGCAAGTTTATATCTGTCACCAGACATTGGCTCAAGTTCAGTCAAGTGCTTGAAAGCAAGGTTCCCTCTCCTCAGGTCATTGTGCATCCTACAAGCACCAAGTAACGCACCCCATATAACCGAATTGGGCTTTTCTGGCAGTGACATGATAAGTTCTTCCGCCTCAGCCAGCCACCCGGCACGGCCAAGAAGGTCCACCATGCATCCATAATGTTCAATGGATGGTCTTATCCCATACTCATGCATCATTTGATGAAAGTACTCATATCCCATTTCAATATAGCCGGCATGGGAGCAAGCAGATAAAATAGCCACAAAAATTATCTCATTCGGATAAGTTCCATTAGCAACCAAGTCATCAAACAGTTCAAAGCACTTTTCAGCTTGCCCGTGTATGGCAAAACCAGAAATAATAGCCCCCCAAGCAACTAAATCTTTTTGTGGCATCTTCTTAAAGACTTCATAGCCATGTTCAATGCTGCCACATTTGGCATACATGTCTATGAGAGCAGTACCAAGAGTGACACTAATCTTAGCCCCAATTTTATCAGCATATGCATGTATCCATTTTCCTTGGTCTAAAGCTCCCAAATGAGCACAGGCAGACAATGAGCTCACAAGGGTTGCCTCATTTGGAGAAACTTCGGAAATCATCATCATTTTCTGAAAGAGCCCTAATGCTTCTGCAGACATACCATTCTTTGTGTACCCTGCTATCATTGCGCTCCAAGATGCGTCATCCTTTTCTAACATGTTATCAAACATTTCTCTAGCCTTCTCTACTTCACCCTGACTGAGGTACCCGGAAATCAACGAGTTCTTCGCAAGCGTGTTCTCTTCAGGGAAGCCTGCAAGAACTTGTTCTGCACAGACCAAACTGTCCATTGAACTCGAGTACATGTGTATTAGTGAGCTATGAACGTGTGTATCTATTGCTGTGCCGGCCTTAACTATCCGGCAATGCGCTTGTCTACCTTCAAAGATTGCACTCAGTTGGGAACATGCTTTAAGAACAAAGGTGTAAGTGTAATTGTCTGGTTTTAAGCCATCTAGTAAAAGTTTATTATACAGCAACAAAGAATTATTTGGGCACTTACCCAGTATCAATCCTCTGATCATGTTATTATAGGCAAATACATCAGGACAAGATATTCTATCGAAAACTGATGAGGCATGGTAAATTTGTGAAACTGTAACATAGGACTGAAGAAGCCTCCCTGCATTTGGAGGGCGGTCAAGCAGTCCTGATACAACTAATTGAGCATGTACTTGTCTTACTTCTTGGAAGTTGCTACACATTTGAAGAAAAACCAGAGTGGTTGGCATTCTAACCGGGATTTTCGAAGAGAAGGATGGTAACTTGTTCTGATTGGCAAGAGACGGAGGAGCAAGAGCAGCAATGATTGCCATATAAATTGCTAATTCTTGTTGGAGATGAACCTTAGGAGTTTAGAAGTAAAAGGCCTTGTACACCTCACTGTGAACCCTCCAAATTGTTTTACTTTGGCCGGCTGGGGGAGAAGATTAAATGATTCTCCTCAAATTTTATATTTTGGTCTGCACTGGCATCAATTATTTAGAGCCACAGAAACAAAAGTCCAAGCTACAGATGATATGAAGATAATTGCATCTGGTCCCCACATTACACACTCCAGCTCATTTGACACATTTGGAAACCATGATGAGTTTGCAATTAGATACTTCGAAGCGTTTAAAAACGACGTAGCGGAACTCATGAAAACGAGAGATTTTGAAGTGTATAGCTGTCAATGTATTGCACAAACGGACGTTTAAATATTACAAAAACCAAATGCCACCACAAAATGATGCATTGAAATAAATGGATCTTATTACAACGGTATTAGCTCTAGCACTTGTGGGTAAAACATGGATGAAAACCCGATGAATGAAAAAATTGTAACTTCCTCACAAGTCTAAATATACTAAATGGCTGAAAATGGTCTTGACATTCATAATAACCTGAATAACAATACTACGAAACCAGCTGTGAGCATTAGCAATGGAGATCGATTGCATGTGGTATGAACACCATTTACATCGTCAGCCGACGTTGATGGTGGTAATGCAGGGCATAGAAGACCTCCCTTCCCTTCATGGCACTCATTGGCAAAAAGCCCCGGTGGGTAGTTTCCATAGAGGTTAATGTAGCTGAACATAATTGAAGCACATTCATTTGTCAAGTCATTCAGCACATCTGTATAAGGACAAGCCAATTCCTTGAATGCAGCACAACACTGGACAGCAGGGTACCGTGGTCCTTTGCATCGGCTTGTGATAACAGTGTAGTTCAAAAACTCAAAGTTCACTGGACAGCCTGCAGATAACAGGAGACAATATTTCACAAGACTTAGTTACCTTCTATTAAGATCTATAAACAGAAAAATAAGCTCTCAAGAGGATTAAGGTTCTATGCAACCCAGAACCAAAAAGGGCCTCAGTGTGACATATAAGCTTCCAAGTTCTTATTGAAAAATAAGCTTCAAAGTAATGCAATCTGTTGAAGAAAAAAAAAAAATGCCTAATTGAATCATGTTCTTGTTTTGTATTTTCGTTCTTTGCTGTTTCATTCACAATCCTAAACATGCTTCTAGCATTCTCGATCTCTCAAACAAACAATATATAAGCTTCTTCGACCTATAATTTCCAAATCAATGGAAAAAGTAGAGAGGGGCATCAAATAGCAAGCCATTTTCAATCATCTTGCAGAATTTGGGCAATCCAGTGGTACAAAAGGATGCAAGCTGAGAGACAATACACAGCATAATCAAGTTGCAGAATATCAGCTTGGCTTCAAATTAAAGCCCAATCTCAAGCTCCTCTATTTTTCTCTTCCTTATATCTATGCGAGTTAAAAGGAAACTTTGGCATATGAGAACTTAAGAAGACACGATAAACCATCAACCATTTGCAAATATATACTATTCTGTGAAAGACTCCCCAAGTCACTAGATTTCGATTCCATTTTGGTCAATTAATTTAACAAACCCAGTTTTGACATGATTTAACTAACCAGAAACTGAAATAACAGAAAAGATAATTACTTGATTACTAGTGAATTATCCTAATTAAGGCCAATCCATCAACCTCCAATAACAGATCATCTAGCACACAAGCGGCACATAGATGCAAATTGCAATCTGCTTTCATCGTCCAAATAGTAAAATTGAAGCTAGAAAAGGCCATCAAATGAGCATTGTCTAAAACTAGAAAACCTTGTGGCACCACAATTCAATTTCTAGAGTTAAAATTCATGACAAACAAAGAAAGAAAAAATTCAGAGAAGGATGTGAAGGAAATGAAACCTTTCTTGGCCTGCAGTAGGTTCCGGCCGATTGAAGCCTGAGATTCAAAGATACCATCTGTAGTTATAGACAGAAGAAACAAAAGTTTAGAGCTTTGTTGAATCTGAGCTTACTTGTATTGAATGTAATGGTATGGCACTACATATATAGAAATTATCTGATAAATTGAGCAACACCTGAAATGAAAGTAGGAGAAGAAGAAGAAGCAGGAAAACCCATCAAAAGGAAGAAGAAGAGAATTGCAAAGCTGAAGCAAAAGCTTTGATTCAACACCATGCTTTCTGGGTTCTTGGAGAGAACAAAGAGAAGCCAAGTTAGAGATCAAAGATCTCACTTTGTTGACTAAAGAGAGAGTTCTTCCTCCACCTTCTGTTTCTCTTTCTTTTATTTGTTCACTATTTCTTCTTCTGGAAAGGGCAAAAAAAAAAAGAGGATAAAAAGCTTAAATCTTTCTGTTTTTTTTTTTCTTAGTTTTAATTTTTGCAATTTTGCTAGCAAGTTGAAGTAGCTAGTAGCAACTTACCTTAGAAACAGTCGGGCTTGATTGAAAATGGAGTACAGCAGGCTACGCGGAAACTGGTTTCTTTTTTCCTCCTCCCATTTGATTTTTAATTTTGGTTACATTGGGGCAGTGGGTATTATTGTCTTTCTTTAATATTATTTATTTTTCTTGTCAGATCTCTAAATTGTGGACTAAATAGTTCATACTTAAGAGTAAGATAGATAAGCTTACCTTATTCAAAAATAATTATTATTTGAAATTTTATTACCAACCTCATAATCTTGTAGTTAAAAATTGTTTTTTTAACACTTGGTTCAGAGGTAATGTACAATGGTGGTTTTGGATGTCACGTTTCTTCCGAAAATGACCAAAATGCTTTTATTTTATCTTAATGGAATTGCGCGTTAGCTCAACCTTTTCCAACCAGATCTTGCTGTCACCACTCACCACAAAACAAATATGATTAATTATTTACGTCAATGGAATAATGTGGTCCACCATAGTTGGTGCCTAATATTACTAGGCTTAATGAAGGAAAATACTTACTTCCTAAAGGTAATTTGGAACTTTTACATTTTTACTAATAGTACTGTGACTCGTGTGCATAAGTTTTTCATTTTGTGTTTTTGATGAATTGTTTTTTTCGTATGTATCAAAATGTGATTCGCATGAAAGAGAAGTATCTCTTTACAAACAAGGAGGCAAGAAGATGATGCTCAATATATAACTATGGAGATCATATTTTCAATTATTTCAATTGCTTTAGCTTTACCAAAAGTATTTGATGCAATAATCCAATCAAATTCCCTTATTTCAAGTGTTTAGAAGTATAACTTTTCTTCTTGTTGTCTTTAAATTTGAAGCCATGGCTGATATAAGTCTTTGAGAGCTCCTAACACCTTAGGCTTTGCATTTCCACAGAACAGTCGCACGTTACCTTTTTCATAAACCTAGCCTTTTTTAACACCACCTTTTGGACTTGGAGGGTCTTTCTGTCATCACCCGTGCATCAATTGGTAGACAAGTTGAGGTTTTTTTTTTCTCTTCCTCAGTTTGGGCAAATTGCATGCCAATTCAAGTATTAACTAACATGGTGGAAAGGAAACTCTGTTGGCATTTCAGTATTTCTTATGCTAGAGATCAACCCCGTGGGGCTCTTACTCTGAAATATAATTAGCTCATCTCTGAGTGAACATTGAAATTTTCTTCTAATGGATCTGATCTAAGAAGAGTAGAAGACCTTGCATTTTTTTTTTCTCCAAAACGAAAACAAGTGATGCCGAATTATACAAGATTTCATTAATTCTTTTTCTTTTCCTTTTTTTTTTTTTTTTTTTGGTTCATCTCTGCACTGTTCTGTTTCAAAGCAGCAAAAAGGTTACAGCCCATGTAGCTTGATAGACAGGAAATTTCAAAAAAGAAGGAAAAAAAAAGGGGTGGGAGGGAGGAGAAAATCTATCCTTCTGCCTCTTCCGAGTGTGTATATTATCATACTTCTTTAACATAGATCCACGCATGTAGCTTGTTCTACTATGAGTCGTTTACCTGTTCAACAAAACGGTCTCTTCTGCTGCATCAAAAAAGCATCCCCAATGTCAGATTCAGCTCAGCATAACTATAATTTATAATATGAACATCAGGTTTTAAGCGCTATGATTAGAAAACGCTTCTTTCGCTACTTATCTATTGCTAGACCATATGTTCATATTGATCATATTACGATGAACAAAATTCCCCATAGAAGACTCAATGATGTTCCAAGTTACTGCAGTTTTTGCTAAGAGACTTACACGAAATTTAGATTCCTGCAGATTATCCAGCAACCTAGCAATCTCTAGTTGCTTTACCACTGCAGCATGCAGTACCTGTAACAATAACATTCAAGTGAAAATTATTATTATCTATGCTATTAAGAGTTCAATAATCAAATGACTAAAAGTAGTCATAGTTACATAGCATACTCTTTTTGTTTGCTCAAGATCATGTTCAACAGACTTTATCCTGTCCAAAGAGTCCATCAACATTCGCTCCTTCTCTAAAGGAATCGCAGCAGGCTTGTTGTTAAGGTCCTCGTATACCTTTTCTAGCTGTTGAAGACGCTGTAAACATGGGAGGACATAGTCTTCTTCATTCACAGCTTCAGGTGTTGGTGACTGGCTATGTGTGTTGCTTTCCACCAAATTAGATGGGTAAATGTTGTTCTTCCTTCCCCAAAATTCAAATCGTAGAATATGAGAAAATGGTAGTACTCTGACCAGGAAAGATATCAGCATTCTTGCCACACGAGAGAAGTCCCTCCTCTCAATTTGGTCCTTAACAATGTCATGCCGAAAGTCAACTGAACTACCTGAAAAGATCCATGAATTTAGAACATAAGCTAAAAGGTAAGGTTGACAAGGAAACAACAGCTGATAGCTGAAGTACGAGTAAGTGATAATAACAATTTGTACATTTGTAAAAGTTGACAATAAAGCTTTTAGCAAAACTAAATGAAAATAAGTTAGTAATAGTATTTACCTTCTGAATTTGATGTTGCCTCACGAAAAACATTTTCCATGCTATGATTAAGTGATTGACCCTGACGATGTCCCACTCCTTGATCACTTGTTACAGCTTTCTCAACCAGAGGCAAATTATCATCACAGCTGTAGTAAGCATTTGGATCTGATGCCTTCACGTGCATAAAACAAATTAATCAAAACACACACCAACATATGTATGCAGTACATATATGGAACCACACAAATCACAAAGAAAATAAATATCGGAACTCACTTCTTCATTAACTGCATCCAAAGGAGGAAACGTAGAACTCCTTCGTCCCAGCGAAGAACTTGGATCATCATTATCTGACGCCGATTCTGCAATTGATGTATCACTTGTTCTGCCCTGGTTAAAAAGAACAAGAACAGAATGATGGATGCATCATTATCTGAACCAGTAATAGAATGGACCACAAATAACAATTCTGAACTAACCTTCAGTGGGCTTATTTGAATATAAGAGTCAAGTTTCTGCTGTTCATTAGACACTCTGGTGATTTCCCTCACAAATGTTGCTTCAGCAGCATGCAGAAGCTACAAATTAGAGAACTTAGGTTAATCTTCACGAATCAATTTGATAAAGTGATTCAAGCCTAAAACCACTACACAATTCAATAAGAAAAAAGAAAGGTAATAACCTTCATTATCTCTATGTCATTCCATGGACCTTTATTAGACTTAAGGCAGCCTCCTTCAGTAGAACATGTACATGATCCGCCCAGGAAATCTGGCAACTGACTGGAAGGAGATGTGTAACAATGAGATGATGGGTACTGTCAAGTGCCAAGGAAAACATTGCAGATAGTATAATGTAAACATACCTTGAATCAATGACTTCCAGTAGTTTAGACAGAGATTTGGGTTCCAGAACCTGGATTTTAATACAGTTAATACAAAAATTAAGGCTGCAAGAGAAAGGAAAACTAGATGCTATGGGCCCGAACAGTATCCTTTACCTGTATCTTTGAAATAGTCTTTACATCAAGAAATTTCTGTGCAGCAGGCCAAAGCATCTTCTTAAAGCCAGGGCCAGCATTGACAATGTACATTCGGTGTAATGTCTATATATTGCAATACAGTTAGATCACATGCAGCACTTTATAACATATAATTGTTTAAACCAAAGTTCAGCTACCTCAGGGTAGTAATTGGTGTCTATCTTTGTCATAGCACCCAAGAGATTCGCAGCAGTCCTGGTGAAATTTTTCATGCCCTGTATTTCACATAACATCAAATTTCTAATTCAAATTCTGCAAATTCACAATGGCAGCTACGGAAGTACCAAACTCGTACAAATATTTTAAGATCCTATGAGTATCAAATTAGAAAAATGGGGTTTCTATACTGAAAGGAAATGCATTATAGGTAGAAGAGCAACATTATTTCATAAATGCATTAGAGTGAAGAGGTTAGCATACCAAGCCTTGTACATCAAGTATAGTTGTTGTTGAACAGATTTGTCTCTTCGCTGCAATTGAACAAGCAGGGAATTTCTCCTGTAGAGCTCTCTCAAATTCTTGGACATGATACTTTAAGTATCGCTCTATACTGGTGATTTGCATAAGCCTACTTGGATGAGCTTTTCCTAGCCTTTCTATGTAAACCGGTCTGCCTTCTTTATCAACCCCATGGTACCCTTGAGGGTAATATTGCAATACTTCATCGAGCTCTTCAAATTCAAAATCCTTCAATTGATTATTATGAAAAGGTGTTAGAACTAAAGGAATATATATATTAAAAGTTTGTACTGTAAATATACGACATCATTCCGAGGCCAGTTTTAATTCAGATGTTAATGAATTAATGGCCAAAGATTGACCATCAGTTTCAGGTCTTAGATTAGTTTAACTAACTTTTGCTTCCAACTAAATTTGAGTTAATGAACAATTCCTCTTCCCTAGCAAACCAAAAGCTTATCCAGTCTATTATTACATCAATAGTAACAAAAATTAACATCCTTACCTCCAAAATGGTGTCTGTTCCAAATTCTTTTCTCCATTTAAGCATTTCTTCCCACAAATGGATTGTTTTTTCAATGTTAAGGTCTCTAGCTTTCAAAAATCTACATGAGATGGAGAAAAAGATAATATTAAGCTTACTGTTCAGTAAATCTGAATTTTCAGCTGATAATTAGTCACAATGTTAATGAAACACAGATATATTGAGGCATTGGCTGACCTCAACAAAGTATGGTAGTCATCATGCCTCGCTGGCAACAAGTCCATGTCAAGGAGTCTTTGACGCAATTCTTGGACAGCACTCTCCTCTTTTTCATCACGTACATCTTCTATGGAAACTGATGGAACCCGGTAATCGATTTTCCTTTTTCCCCTTTTCTTAAGAGAGTGAGTAAACTTGCTTGAAGCATTTATCGCCTTCTTCTTGAGGTTGCAAATCCTTGAGCGTCGTCGCTCCTCTTCAGAATTCTCAAAGTCTGACCTTCTATCTCGAATTTCATCACAAGCTCCCAGCCCTTCTAGGCCTAAAGTGAACAAATGTACACAGTCAAAGATCATAATTATGAACTTTTTCTGATACCCCGTTGTTTTCAAACATTATTTTCCTATGCAAAATTTATCTCGAATTTGCATTTTCCAATGAAACAAGCATCACATTCCCTTGAACTAACACATTGTGCTGAGTAAAAATTGTTCTTCCACCAGAAAAAAAATATATATATATATATATTAAGCTTGTGGACCAAAAGCATACCTGACATGTTAGTCCTATGCAGAAGGAAGATCTTCCGAATTGCTTGACACTAATTTTTCAGAGCAAGAAAGCAAATCCACAGTAAACTCTACAGCATGCATGTACCCATATACTGTAAAAAGATAAGCAACGACTTAGGATTCAAAGGTAAGACATAATCATATCTTCATTATACAGAATTAAAGCAGAAGTGAAGTGACTGACTTCATTCTTTAGTAGGACAGAAGATGAAATATGATTAACTAATTTAAATGCGCACACAACCAAATCAAGTCCTCCAAACCATCAAGGTCAGAACAAGTAAAACCCCATGGAACCAAATAATATAAAAAAATCAGAATAATAAACCTGAATAACTATCTAAATGTAAATCACCAGCTCTTGGCTGCATTTGATAAAAATGAGAAAAGGAAACAACTGCATTGTGTTCTGGTACTTTCCCTGTGAATTCCTACCCCACAATTTCACATTCCCATGAAACCTTATCACTATTAGGCCTCCCTTGAACCGTTGAACCTATGTTCCACTAATTACTGAGTCATTTTCCGCTTAATTAAACCTTGCAAATAAAAGTCACTTTCCAACGCCTGTAGGCTCACCAAACAAACCCCTTAAAATTCAATACATAACTCTTAAAAAGGTATATAGATCTGAAGCAGCTAAATTCTCCAAACTACAGACACCCCATTTTCCTCTATCTTCAGAACAAGCAGATTCCAATCTCATCATATCCAAATTTGCCACCTTTGACGGATTTCACTTTCCTGTTTCCATTAATTTTAACAAAAACCACCAGAAGCAGCCTGATTTCCGAAAACCAGTCGAAAAGGAATCTCTCTCACTTCAGGTGATTAATGAAAGAACTGAAAAGGGAAACCCCATTAAGCAACTCAATTCCAGGAGCTCTGAAACTTATGAGTTTGTGAGAACAGTGAAACCGTTAAAAGCTATTTGAGCATCTGAACCATCAAGCTCTCGCATTTACACCTTCTCAACGCTCCTAAATCCCCCAAACGCATTAAATCTCACCAATGCCGATAAGCCACGTTCGGATCACATCGTAACTCTACGTAAATTTTCCACACAACCAAACGTACACTCCAAAATCCAAAAATACATACATATTGATATTCTAATTTCCAAAAAAGAAAGAAAATTTAAGAGAAGTAGAAACAAAAAAACCTAGATTGAAAGCTGGATCACCATCCGAGAAGCTTAGGTCATCGATTCGGGCGCAGAGAATCTATCCAGAAACAGAGACGGAGTGATAAACGGATAAAAAGAAAGTCGGTAGGAGATTTTCCCGAGAAAAAATCGGGAATTTTCTCGAGAAAATTTAATGAAGAGCTGAATGAGTTTATAATAAGGATAGATTAGCAGAAAGACATTTTCTTCTTCTTCTTTTTTATTATTTATTTATGGCCTTTAATTCGCTTATTTGGCACCGCTGTCCCCTCAGATTTGCATACGTGGCAGTTTCTGCTTTCATTTTCTTTTATTTTTAATTGTATTTAGGGGAGGTTGCGGCAAAATTGGATTGACGGTGGTGATTGGACTCGGATAAAGCAAAGTTATGCTCCTTTGCTTGTTCGATTCGTTTCGTTCTTACTTTTTATTTATATATATATTAGCTAATTATGATATTGGGGATATTGGGGAATTGCATCAAATCACCTGTTTTATTAAATTATAAACTTTTTCGATTGCGAACCAAAAGTTAAATAATTCTAATCTGTTTGAAAATTCTAGAAGCGAATTGAAAGATTATTCGACCTATGACACGTACGAAAAGAATTAGAATTGTAAAAGTCTAGAAAACTTTAGTAAAAAAAATTTACAACTTAATGACATGGATTATTTATGTTCCCTTCATTCCACTTGATAAGAAAATTAAATTAAAAAAATATAAACGTACGTGTACATTCATTGAAGCTAAACGTACTATAAGCTATAAAGTAAATTAAAGCGTTTTTCATTCCCACGTTTTTATAAATAAATAAATAAATAACTCTCCTTTTTGTTTATGGGCTATAAATACAGTCAAAATGGATTAAACAAAGATAAGTTTTTTTTTAATTGAGAATTTAATTTACTGGCCAAAGTTACTAATTTCCAAGTCAACGAAATTGGGTGCATAAAAAAAGGTCGATTAAAATTAGGAAACGGTTTTCCATACGACCAAAATAGTAGGTTGGTTTGTTTGTTTGCCGTAACCCAAAAATATAAATAAAAAAATTATAATAAAAAATGTAGGTTTTGTTTGTTGGCACGAATTTTGTAGTGTCAGCTTATTAGTTAGTACGGTCTCATCATGATCATTGATTCCTGATATGAGTGATGGGTCAATGATTTGTCAGTCAATCGTGCGGTTCAGAAATTCCAAACCGATAATTAATGGTTTTTTATAGTCATTTATTAAATAATGATAGGATGGTAGCAGCAGTCGTAGGAGAGGAGGATGTTGAACCAAAACACTCGAATTCTGTAGAGTTAGTTGGTGGTTAAAAATTTAGGGTTAACAACAGCAACGGCTACGCAACAAAGACGACAATTCCACCAAACCCTACTGTTTCCATGGTGGCTATGCGCACCGTACTGTTGGCATGATTTACTCACCCAACTATTGTTGCAGTGAATTTACAACGCCCAACTAGGGTTTGAAATTAATTAGGTTAGCCCCCCACCCCACCATGGTCCATGGATGATGGATGATGGAGACCTGTCATCTCTCATGACATGATCTCATCACAAGCATCTTGTGTTGCCTTGCCACCACAATCACTTGAATTAATTCACTCCAAAAAAAAACAAAAACAAAAGTTCACTCCAAAAGTGTTGGATATTTTAAGAAGGTGAATTTTGTGTGTCCATGTATGTCGACAACATTTGAAGGACCCAATTTAATGGCGTAATTTAGCCACTACAATTTTTTTTTTAAAATATTTTTTTTAATTAACTACAATTTGATTATGTAAGGGGCTTGTAGCAAGTAGTTAATAGCAGTTACTCGTGCACTTAAAATATTGTGTACAAAATACTATAGGGTAGATGTACTTTTTGAGAAAAATACAAAAATACAAAAAGTTGTTAGTTTACAATCATCATCTTCTTACACTCAGGCCTCGTTTGTTATGGAGGACTAGACTAGACTAGCAAAATACCTACATTTTGTGTGCAATCAAGGCATAATATGAATATTGTTGTCTAACTTAGAGGATGACGGAGAACTATTCATAGGAAGTTAATGACTAAAAGTTGTCCCTCATAATCCCACCAATTTCAAGGAAATTAGAGGAGATAAGTTTTAGTCATCAACCTCTTATAGATAATCCTCATTCTTCCTCCAAGTTAAGCAACGTATCCATATTCTGTCTTCAATGCGTATGAAATGTATGCATTTTTCTAGTCCAGTCTAGTCCTCCCTACCAAACAAGTTCATATACAGTTCATGAAAACCAAAACAGAGAAATAGTTTTAAAAAGCTAAAACCTAATTAGTGAGAGTTGTGGAATATTGGTACCATATTAATGGGGGAAAAATAAAAGCTAACCAATATTTGGAGTGAGATTCTCTTCCTTTTATAACCATGAGTTTACTTGGAAGAATTGACACGGCAAACTTTATCCCACCTAGAAGCGCTAGCATGACTGTGTTTTGAGTATTCTGCTGAACGTTCTAGAAGAAAAAGTGAGAACTTGAATTCAACCTTATATAATGTAAAGGTTGGCATGCTAAGTTTTTGATTGTTGAGATTCACGTAATTTACGTAATTTGGATTACGTCTGCAACATTTATTTGGTTTTTCACTAATAACTAATGTGGTTGCAAATATTAAAATACTAGTCCTCTCATAAGAGGTAACTTATCAAAAAATTAAAGTTGGGAAAAGGTTTCTTGTTGTATACATGCAATGTGGGGTATGTCGATCTGCTAGGCCAAAACAAGCATAAACATATATCATAGTCTATGGCCCGTTTGATAATCATTTTAATTTTAATTTTAATTTTTTTTGTTAGAGTACAGAGGAAAATGAGTGTGAAAATGAAAGTGAGTGTGAGATTGATAGAGAGAATGAGATGGAAGGATGAGAGAGAATAGTAACAAAAGTGAAAATGAAAACAATTTCAACTAGATTTCAATTTTTGGTTTTTGTTTTCACTTTTGTTACTTCTCTTTTCCATTCTCCCATCTCATCTACCCTCTAAGATTGAAATGGTTATCAAACGAGCTCTAAATTTTTTGTTTTTTGTTTTTTGGGTAGAAATCATTGTAGACTGGAATGATTGGTAAAGAGGAATGTTGCATAATTGTGATATGTCTCATCACCCGACCTCTCATTTTCCATGATATAAAAAGAAGATAAATCTTGACAAAAGCTATTCGTATTGTTTGGTGGGTACGTAAGATCGATCTAGAATTGAGATCGATTAGGTCATCTTCATGGGATATTGAGTCATCACATTTCACAAGCCACTAAAACCCAATATCAAAAACATGCCACTCATATTTTGAATATGGGATATAGTGAGTGCAAACCATCACGTAAATGCAACAAGACAGCGAAGTCAATCCAAAACGTGATTTACAAAATCGATTTGTGTTTTCTTTGTCAATCCCACTGCCCTACGCAATCTGTGTTCCGTTCCCCTTTAACATTTCATTTGCACGTATTTGAATTTGAGCCATTTGCCCATTTGGTGAAATTGCATTACACGAAATCTTTTGAGATCGATCAGTTGATTAGAAAATGCATATATTTGGCGAGAGGTCACCCTAGGGATTGTGGGATCAGATATCAACAGTCTCCACTTAATAGTGCTTTGTGATTACCCACTAGTCAGTATATTGGGACCAAAAAATAGAGTAATGTATATTTGCATATTCTAGCTACTAATAAAACTACTGACTAATTTATTTATATACGAGAGCCACCGTCAATATGTTAATATACGTAGATTTCATAGTGAGGCGTATATGCATCAACGATATTGAATTAACAATTTTTATACACTCTTATAGAGCCCACCACGTATTGTGTTTTAGTAATCCGAACTATTTAGTTTTTACATATTCAATTAAAGATCATCTCTGCAAAAAAACAAGAACAAAAAAAAAATTAATAACTTGAATCCAAAACTATTTAACCACTTAATTATATGATTATTATTGTAGTTTTTCTTGAAGTACCATGTTTGTCCGGGTTCCAATTATATGCCTTAATGATTTTCAATTTGTATGATTTTTTTAATAATGATCTATGAATAAAAATTTGAAAAATAGACAATTTAGATCATTAAAATTTCTGTTATAAGAGACTCTAAAAAGCATCCCTCAAATATATATACATGCATATTTTATCTACAAGAAACTCCCAACCTTTGATTGGCATACCTAATTTTTACCGATACGTTATGCATACAGATGAGATTGACTGATTATATTTTGTTTATTTACTGCATATCCCCTAAAGGTTAACCACTTTACATATGCTAAGGGTCCCCACCATTAGCTCTATTGGTTGTTACCACCACATTGCAACATTTGACTTTGAATCTCCCTTAAAAACAAATGACTGGATATATCCAATATTAAAACAATCTAACCTAAAAAAAGACCTAGTACACTCATAATCTACATCACAATATTAAGTTCAGCCATAAGCAATTAAGTATCGAATTATCATTATTGTCATGTACATGAGTTGAATTGGAGATCTCCTCCAACCAAATAAATATAAATTCCATTAGATCGAAGACTAGTTGGTACATTTGAAATTCCAATGAAAGATGGATGGGAAGGGGATATTTTCTAGTTTCTGGTTAATTCGTTGCTACCATTGAAGACCACATAGTATAGTACTGCTCATCTCAGTAGGCGTCGGTAGGAGGGAGAGAGGTCAGTTTCAAGGAAAAAGAAGAGATATAAAAAGTGTTGCCAGTTATAGGTCACTTTCATTACTTGAATCTGTCTTTCTCTCTCCCTAGTCCCCATAAATAACATAACGCATTGCACCCTACTACTAGCTTCATGTTTTAGGCCAAGTCAAGCTTTCACCAGTACCATGTCCTCTCTCTCTCCACTGCATGGCTGTCTTGTCCTAACGAGTGTCAGCATCGTAGATGAAATACCCTCCAGATATTCCAATGTACCCTCAAAGAAATCGACAATCAATAGATACTTTCTCCCCCTTCTCTCTCTCTTCCCATCAAGATTTCGTTGCAGAGAGAATCACACTCCCTCTTTCTCAATTTTCTTTTTGTGATTGATGCGTCCTTGTTCCTCACTCCCTAGTAACTCTTTTGTTTTTATAATCAACACATTCTTTTCTTCATTTCTTTATCTTTAGCTACCCAAAAGAAAAAGATGAAAAGTTAAAAAAGGGAAGCCC